TATGACAAAAATAGGAATTAAAAAAATTACACTTTAATGGAAGAATCCTATTCAAGTCAATTAATACCTACAAAAAAATATTTCACGGAGAGATTTGATGACCAAGGAGCCAATCAAGCATACAAACAAAAAATCATGTTGCACACAACGACTGGCAAGGAACCTATTGAAAATAAAGACCCGCCCATTATTATATATTGAAATAAATATAATATGAATTCGGGTAAAATGGTTATCTTAAAACTCACCACAGTCAAAGCACTACTAACAGAAATAGAATAAAATAAGCTATAGAGAAAAGTGAATAAATAATTTCATTAATTGTAATAGAAATTACTAATCGCATAGAAAAGGTAATGGAATTAATGCACAAGCTCACAGTAGGGAATTGAGTTGGTTCAATACAAGAAAAATGGAGCGAGTCATATGTCATTTCTGATATGTAAAACTCACTCAAGATAGTAGATTTCTTTAACACGACCCCAAGGAGTTTTGCTGGCAAGAATTGTCTGTAGCTTGGCCTCAATTGTTTCTGTCTTGGAGAAAGATGTGCTTATTTCTGAGCTAAAAGCTTGAGTGTCTGGAATAAGCTCTTGAATGGAACCCAGTCGTAAAGACTCGTTTCGGTGAGAAAGTATTTCGTCGACTTCGTCAGAGACTATCTTAACCGCGTCATCAGAATTGGAATCATGAGATATCTGGGAATTTGACATTTCCATAGTCTCGGGGGAATCAGTAGGGCGAACAAGGCCGAAAACGCCAGAGAAGAACATTGTCAGCTAACTTAGAGAAGTTTAAATAAACAACAGACTACTATCTTTGTAATAAAGTAGGTATGTAATATTCTTAAAAATGAAAGGAATAGTATATACATTTTCAAAATCAATTATCAAGTAAGAATTGCATCTTCTTTGTGCTGAGAAACTATGATAAAAACAATGTTAAAGACAAAACCAAATTAAACTAAAATGGCTTGTATGATCAAGTGAAAATCTGTGTGTTGAGAACGAGTTATCATGCGCCAATAAATCACAGTTCCGATCTAAATTATTGAAGCCAAGCGCTTTATGATTTTAAATTATTTACTTAATAATTCAAGATCACATGAAGCCATTAATTTCGAATATAAGAAGGGTGAAGTAGCGAGACCCTTGGCTGTATTTTTTTTCTATACGAATCTAAACCATATCCATGAGGTGTAATTTTGTAATACAAGATATTCCGCTGTGATACATTTGGTACAAATAAAGCAGAAACATTGTAAGACACCAAGGTTGTCTGTCCCCTCCAAGTGACGCATCAGAGATAACAAGTCTGGAATAGTCTGTCTTTCAGGCTTAATTTATGCTACTGACGATAATGCCAATGGAATGGAGCCAGGGGCATGTATAAATTCAATATGAACTAAAGTGCGGCTAATCAAGTGAGTACAATGCAGTAAAATGATGAACTCATCCAATAATCCAGCTTATACAAGTGTATATTAACTATCTATGTGGAAATTAGGTTCAAATAAGTTGCGAATCTATGTAATCATTATAAAACGTGATC